AAATATAGGCAGTGAAATATCAAACATCCCTCAAAGCAATATTTTTGCCAATATATATCCATGGGCAAGGAAAAGAAAGAACAAAATAAACAAATGGAATATCAAACTAAAAAGCTTTTTTAAAAATATATTTTTATTGATTTCATAGAGGAAGAGAGAGGGAGAGACAGAAACACCAATGATGAGAGAGGCTCATTGATCAGCTGCCTCCTACATGCCCCCCCCCGCCCCCCACTGATCGAGCCTGCAAACTGGGCATGCATCCTGGCCAGGAATCAAACTGTAATCTCTTGTTTCATAGGTCGATGCTCAATCACTGATCCATGCTGGCCAGTCCAAACTAAAACGCTTTTGTACAGAAAAAGAAAACATCAATAAAATGAAAAGGGGGCCCACTGAATGGGAAAATATATTGCCAATGATACATCTGATAAGGGGTTAATTTCCAAAATGTATATAAATAACTTATTCAACTCAATACCAGGAAGATAAACAACCCAATTTTTTAAAAGGGCAAATAACCTGAATAGGCACTTTTCCAAAGAGGATATATGAAAAATTGCTAAATATCATTAACCCCCAGAGAGATGCAAATGAAAAGCACAGTGAGCTATAACCTCACACCTGCCAGAATGGCTATCATCAATACATCAACAAACAACAAGTGCTGGCAAGGATGTGGAGAAATGGGAACCCTCATATACTGTTGGTGGGACTGCAGACTAGTGCTGCTACTGTGAAAAACAGTATGGAGTTTCCGCAAAAACTTAAAACGGAACTTCCTTATGATACAGAGATCCCATTTCTGGGAATATATCCAAAGAAACCTGAAACACAATTTGAAAGAATGTATGCATCCCTATGTTCATTGCAGTGTTGTTTACAATAGCCAAGATCTGGAAACAGCCCAATTTCCCATCAGGAGATTAGTGGATAAAAAAAGCTGAGATACATTTACACAATGGATACTACATGGCCATAATAAAGAAGGGAATATCACTTATTTCACTTAGTATAATACATGGAGAGTATTATGCTAAGTGAAATAATCCAGTCAGAGAAAGACAAGTACCATAGGATTTCATTTATATGTTGAATTAATGAACAAAGTAAATTAACAAACAAAATAGAAACAGATTCATAGTGTTACTATAGGACATGTAACTGTCTCTCTCCATACCCCACTGCTTTTTGATTAATCTCCTAGATGTAGAAATATTGGATGGTGGGTTCCTGTTATACTCTCATTGCTTTTTACTCAAACTTTCCTATAATTTATTCCCATCTTAAGTTATCAAATCTTATCTCCCATTATATCAGGGAATTTTTTTTACTTCCTTATAGTGTATTCTTTACTGTTCCAAGGACAGTACACACTAATCTAATTTCTTACTCTTAGTGTGTTCGCTAGTGCTGATATCTTATTTTCACTTTTTAGTCCTAAGTTCCACTTGTTCTCTAGAGTACTAGTCAAGTTAAATAATGCTGACCCATTATTTGTACATATAACATGTTCTCTCTCTTTTACCCTTTACTCCATACATATTTGGGACTTAATTATTTAGCATTTATAGTGACTTCTAATTGTTTATATCATAAACACTGTTGCTTCAACTGCATTGGAAGTTTCTTGGTATATAAAGAATTATTTTCAATGTTAGACATTGAATTGTACCTAAATACTTGTTTTTAATTATCCCTTTTGACTAATTAAGATAGATTTTTTTGGTATGTTCCTGTTGCTCTGGAATTTTAAAAATCTTCACATCCTATTAACTTCAAATGGCATAGCAGTCCAAGAGCCAATATCTATCAGATTTTTTAGAATAAATTTTACACAAAGTATTATGAGGTTGAACTTGGTTTTTTAAAAAGTCATCCAAAGGTGAAGAAATATTCCCTCAATCATAACATAATGGAATATCATGCCATGCCTGAAAAGTTTATTAGTTAACTTCAACTACATTTGTGCTTATTGTAGTGTGTACTAATCACCATACTTTCTGATTCAATTAAGTGAGGGAAGTTGTTGAGAATAGGGAAATTACAAAGATTTTAATAAATATGCTTGATAACTTAGGCAGCATTACCATTGCTAAATCAGCACATTTACCTTACTGGAATTTCTGCTTTCCTTACTTATAATGTATCAGGACTTAAAACAGGGTCCCAGGTCTGTATTCTCAGTTCTTCTATCCTTTAGTTTAAAACTAGAAACTTTAGAGGGTTGAAATGCAACTCAGATAAGGTATAAAAAAAGGAAAACTCTTATATGGCCAGGATGAGGTTGATAAAGAGGACTTATTGTTTAAATCATTAAAGAATTCAAGGCTGGGGAGGGTTGGGGGGCAGGAGGGAGGGGAGTAAGAGATCAACCAAAGGACTTGTATGCGTGCATATAAGCATAACCAATGGACATAAGACACTGGGGGATAGGGGAGGCTAGGGGACTGTCAAGGGCGGGGGAGAAAAATGGACAGATATGTAATACCCTTTGTAATACTTTAAGCAATAAAAAAAAGAATTCAAGTAAATTTTTTTTAAATGTTCAGATTTGATTTAGTAATTCATCAATAAATAAAAGCAGATGTATTTTGTGTGTATATACTGGGTTTATGACACATGTATGCATACGAGTGTTAATAGGGATAAAACTCTGCTGATTTGTTTTACATTACCTGTGACATATGAATAATTTCCATCATTTTAAATAAGGAGCTGCTTATATGTGTGTGATTTGGGGTTTTCCTCCATCAAGTTTATGTTGAAGTGGCAAAACTTCGGTGGTTCAATATTAATTCTGACCTTTGTAATATTGAGAGCTATCTAGCAAAAGAAGTAGCCCCTTGTCATTATAATCATTAGAATAGTAATTGTGTGTCAACCTTTGAGATATGAGACTACTGATGGTCTTCCTAGACCCTCCTACTCACTCCATAATCTAAAATTCAATTATAAGTTATTTTTGGAATACCATTCTCAGAGACACTTTTCCGTGAGTAAGAAGGCACAACTTGAAGTTTGTTGGTAGAGTGGGGCTTTTATTGTCAAATCCCTTAAGATATATATTAGTTAGTTGAAAAGAGTGATAATTGAATCCCCAAAATGGTTAGGTGCTTTGATTTAGTATGGGAAGACTTCCTTAAACTACAATTGTAATTACAGATGAAGATAATATGAGTATGTCTGAAGGTGGGAGCAGTTGTGTTCCACCACTACCTCATAAGCAGTGAACATAAGATTAGAGTCCCTGAAGTTTGTGTGAGGCTGATCTAGCCACAGTTTCAGGGTAAATATAAACTATATTCTCCAGAGAGAATGCAAGGGAAATGGTGTAACATTGGTCCTCCCAACCTTAGAAGAAGGTTTATACCTGAGAAAGAATTGATATACAGTGAAACCACTACCCTACAATGAATATATATTTCTATCCTACCCAGACTATTTTTTAAGGCTAAGATTATTATTATGTTGGAGGAGAGAGGAAGTGCTGAGGAGGAGGATATAGAAGTGTGGTCAAAGTGTTTCATTGAAATGGCAAGCAATCCTCCAGCAGGAAACATGGTAGTGCAGAGTGGGCTTCACTCCCAGTATTTTCCTTGCTGTTTCTCTAAATGGGCCAATGAACTGGACTCCAAACAACTAGGAGATTCCTTTTTTAAATATATTTTATTGATTTTTTCAGAGAGGAAGGGAGAAGGATAGAGTTAGAAACATCAATGAGAGAGAAACATCGATCAGCTGCCTCCTGCACACCTCCAGGATGTGCCCACAACCAAGGTACATGACCTTGGCTGGAATCGAACCTGGGACCCTTCAGTCCACAGGCCGATGCTCTCTCCACTGAGCCAAACCAGTTAGGGCAACTAGGAGATTCTTATGGTTGCTTCCATGTCCCAAGAAGTCCTAGCCATCATTCGACCCAGAATCAAATCACCCCCATAAACGTTAATATAGTGTGGATAACTACTACCAGATGAGGCTAAACCACAGACAGTATTGGGTACCTGAATCCCTGAGAATTGGGGAACTAATGACACAGGCTCCCTCTGGTTATTAGATTAAGCATTCAATAATGTAATATTACATATCATATGCTTGACTATTTGGTACCCTGCTTATTGTGCTGTTTGTGGAGGGCATACTACCAGAGCAGGCTTGCTTAGCCAACAACAATAGCTTGTAGTCTTTTCAGGACTCTTAAAATTTCCATAAATGAGGATGGTGAAGAAAGAAGTGATGGTGTGGGAAACATCTGTGGAATTAAGCAACATGGTTTCAAACTAGAAGACTCAAAGTTTTTGCCTGACTAGCTAGAAGCACTGTGAGATACAATATACTAATATCTTTCACAAGATAAGGTGAGGAGTGGAAATGCTACTGTGTAGAAAAAACTGAGAAGCTCCTTGGTGAACCAGAATTTGGGTGGACTTCAGAATTTTAGTGGAAATGAACCAAAGAAGTGGTGCAGACAGATTAGGTAAATTGTAAGGCAAGGCTATGACATTAGGTACTTAAAAAAAATATCTAGCCTTGATTTTTATTAGGTATAATAGATATTATGGTGTACAGGGAGACCTAGAATTTCTTTGTGTCAGAGTAGATATATGATCCTTTCTGTTTGTTTGTTTGTTTATTTTCTCCACTGAAGTTGGTTTGAGAAGAAACATTTTAGTAAAAAACAGAAGACTTTTCAATCTTGATTCACCACATTTTTCCTGATTCCCCATATAAACCTTCCTCCTAGAAGCAGGTTCACTAAACATACAACCAGAAATAGGAAATCTTGTGTGATTCAATAGAACAATTGAGGACAATACTATTGGCTTATTTAAACAGCTGAACTGAAATAAGATGTAAGTTCATATTTGTTTGAAAGTAACCAAACCAGTGGAAGTTTTCCAAATGCTTTCCTAGTTCTTATATTTTCATTTTGCTTTATGGCTCTTCTTCAATGACTGTAGTTGGCAACTTGAAAATAAAAACTCAATGACAATCGACAAAGTCAAAATGCTTTTATTTATACTGAAGTTTAGCAAGTACATTTTTTAAACAAAGAAGTTGTACTTTAACTTAATATATCATAGAACAGAGAAACATACATATAAATTTCTAGTCTCTAACACAATACCACATTTTTTTCTTTTAAAGACAAAAGGCCAAGCTGAAGTGAACATAGAAAAGCATCAAATATGGTCAGGTTACTTAAACCATGAGAATTTAGCTCATAGTCTTAAACTGGTCAATCTAATGTGAGGACAAGTTCACATCATTACTTTTAAAATGCACACACATTCCTTTTTTATAAATCAATTTAGACTGAAGAGCTGTTTTAGTAAACAAAGTGTTGCTGATAAACATAACTGAAATAACTCCATGCTGTGGAGTTTCAGAGATAAGTTGTAATCACAAGCATCTTCATTTATGTAAAGCCAGCGAGGACCTTTCAGGCTGAATAAAACAGTTGTGACATTGCTAAACAGTAACAGTTACCTCCTTGAAAGAAAAAAAAAGAAGAAAGAAAGAGAGAGAGAGAGAGAGAGAGAGAGAGAGAGAGAGAGAAGAAGAAGAAGAAGAAGAAGAAGAAGAAGAAGAAGAAGAAGAAGAAGAAGAAGAAGAAAGAAAGAAAGAAAGAAAGAAAGAAAGAAAACAAGTTAGTTCTTCTGAGTAATAATTCTGATACGTGCTTAAAAACACTAAATTTCTATCTCCAGAAACCTAAATGATCTGATGTAACTAGCTTGGTTTATTATTGGTAAAATTTTAAATTTCTTAACATTTCTATATGTTAATATGCCAGTTTTCAAAGATGTCTCAAGTTTCATGTTACAGCTTTTCTTTCCACAGCACTGGAGACATAGAAGACTGATGGTTCTTTTCATAAACTGTGTTGTCTCTAGCTATCTACATTACTTTGGCTTTTGTACATAATGGTATATTTGAGATCCCTAGGCTTTACCAAAACAGAGAGAAAGGAGTATCCGTTCATGAAGTAAGATAATGACTTATTTGTACATTTAGAATTTCCTCTCCCCAGGTTAACCTTGAAACTGTGTATATTGCATGAAGGGAGAATAGGTCTGATTATTATTTTAATCAGTGTTTAATCAAACCAGTATCTATTTAAATGTTGGTAATCAAAAGAATGCATACCACTCTAGAGTTAGAAAATATTTGATGGTGTGGGTAAAACTATAATTGAAAAAAATTTCAAAAAATGATTCTACCTTTTTTTGTCTAACCTTGCTCTCTTCCAGAGGCATGGGTTATGGCTTGAGTTTCTAGCCAGCAACCTCATAAAAATTGGTCACAAAAGAAAATCCAGAAAAGAAAGTGTGGATGATCAGTACAAATCCATCACCCATGCTTAAGAAATACTAAAAACCTATGTGTGTTAAATATATCATCTTCACATATAAAGGAGATTTGAATTATCATTGTTGAACTGATATGTCTACTCTAAAATATTAGTTCAATCTCGTCAAAACAGCATTGTCAGGAGGAAAATATATCCCTTTTAAGCCTTGTGTATAATATATTTAAAATAGTTATTCTTTTGTGTAGAAGGTATTACGGGGTGTCAGGGGAATTTTGTGGAGAGTACCACTGAGTCAAAAATAAAGATGTGGTAAGGAGTAGAAGAAAAAAGGAACTTGTGTTTATGTTGGTCAGATGGCCTGGAGGGTCAGGCTTCATTAGAAGGCAACCAGTCAAAGAGCCTATGGAATTCACCTGAACTTTTCCAGTGACCAGAAGAAAACAAAACCTAAATTTTTGGAAACTGTCTAGTCATCAGCCACAGCCAGAGAATTGTTCAGACTCCCGAGTGGCATCTGAGAATACTCATTCTGATAAAATTCACCAGATAGTTGCTCAGTTTTCCAGTCTACCTCATCTTCTGTATACAAAGCCTAAATGTCAAAGGACAGTTCTTCAACATCAAATGGCAGACAGTCATTTTACCATGATTCAAGATGTACAATGTAGCTAAAGCTTAAATCATGCCATACAAATTGTGAACATTACAAATGTGAAAGCAATGAAAAAACAAAAATAAATCCTGTAAAAAATGTACATAAATATAGAACAAATGACAAAAAGCAATCATCATTTGTCATTTAGAAAAAAATGAAATTTCTGAAAATCTCCCTCCTTTTTATTTTTAATTATACTTCTTCTTTTTAAAAAAGACAAGCATTTCTGTTCACATCCTTCATCAAATGTGTCAGTTTATAAGGCCTATCAGGAACTCTTCCCACAGCAGCTCAAAAAATCCAAAGAAAAACTAGGCCAGCAAAAAGAAGACAGTATCAATATGAATGATTTTTTCTACCCAGAATACAATTAAATTGAGATTTCATAGTAACAAAACTTTTTCTCTTAACTTAGAGAATAGTAGCAAAATAGACTTTTGTGTAGCATGCTTTATAATGTTGACACAGATTCTGTTATTGTTTTACATATACCAAAGCAGAGTGATCATAAGGAGGAGCCAATATTGACCTGCTAACTGACACCGAATCTTGGAGCAATCTCTTAAGTTTACCACATTTCAATTTCAAAATGCATTTCAGCTATAATATGAGTGATTCATCATTTAGTAGTAGCTGTCAGAGTAAACTCCTAGATAAAACAAAAACATCTGGAAACATAAACAGAGGAGAGCTGTAGCTGAATATTAATCCAAACCTGGCATGCTCATTTCATTAGGAATAGAAAACAGCTAATTAGTAGTTAAATGTTTCATGTTTTTATGAGAGTTTGTACTTGAGCTCTAAACAGAGATGATCTAATATGAATTTTCGATGTAAACAAGATTAAATATCAAGAGGAGCAAGGAACAAAATTTCTCTGGAGGAATGTTAGGGAGCTTAGGAACTTACAAGGAGTGACACAGACATTTGTGGAGAACTGACAGAGTTTATTGCTTTAAAATTTATTAGATAAGTAAAAGGGGGAATTTGATACACATAAATGTGACCATTGTAAAAATAAAAATGAAAGCCCAAACAGTCCTTCCCTTAGCACAGTACTGCCTGACATAGGCAAACCCCATGACACAGGAGATGAGCCTCTGCTGATCATTTGAGTTATCTCCAAAGGGCCACACCTGACAGTACCAAATTTAAGTGTGAGACTTGCCTTCTGTGGTATATAGCTGAAGCTAATGCAAAGGAAAACGCTAAAATCAGGTGTCATAAAGGCCAGAAGAAAACACATGAGTATTTGTTATAGTTCAACCAAAGTCAATTAAACATACCTATTTGTAAAAAGACATTAGTTTGTTTTTAAGTGATTTAGTTAACTTGAAAATGCTGTTCAATTTCCCATATAGTTCAATATATGCTGCTTGCTTATCAAGTAATGAGATATTTATGGTTGTTATATTTTAAATCATTAATCTGTGTTATTCAGTTCAGATATTTGGTATTAATACATTTAAAAAAAATAAATTTAAAAAATTATTTGCCTCAGTCCTCCATGGCTTATTTCTAATTTGCATTATTACACTGACTTCAGTTAAAGCAGCCCACTTACTCTATACAAGTAGACCTTCTACAGTCTGTAGAGAGCACCTGAAGCCAAATGCCTATGCCATAGAAGGAATTTCTTCAGATCATGGAACAACTGGAATGTCATATTGATATAAATGTAATATTTAGAAGTGTGTAGGGTAGGTGGCCATCTCAGCAGAAACTGCATGTAGTGCTACAGAGAACTGATTATTGTAGAATGGTTAAAACCTCAGTTGGCCTTTCACGTAAGATGAGTAGTGCTTCTGTTACAACAACTTAATTCTTAGAAAGATGTAAAAATAACAATGGATTACATTTCGCTTGTGTAAGAGGGGAACTCTAGACGGGGCATTAAATCTTTTTTGATCACTAGAGTAACATTTAACACATTGTAATACTGTTCTATTAGATTCTTCGGAAGCATAAAAATAATGAGGACAGGTATTAGCCATCAGCCTTTGGCCAAGTCTCCATTAAGTACTAGTAAACACTTAAAAATATGTGAGGCCATTTCCTGGATAATTCAAGCCAAACAACCCATTTGGTTCTAATCACTGGAACATTTTAGGCATCTTGCCATGTGTAGAGCAGAGAGTGAGCAATGGAAAATATCTATGATGCAACTGACCCATCATATCTGCCTTTCTCCTTTCTTATGCCCATACATTTTTCAATTGTTTGCTTGATGATAGCTTAATACAGAGGAAGCAGAATTGAAGATGGGATGAGATCAGAAAAGAATTAAAGGGGTATTTTTAGTAGCTTGAGTATGTGGTTATATCATTGCCTTCTTTACAGATTAGGGATGTGCTAGTAGAAAGGGATTGGTTGAGTTGCTCCACCATCAACAGATTAAAGGAAGAACTAGGCATGGTAATAACTACAAACTAGAGCTCTCTATATTCTCTTTGAGAGCACTACAAGCAACGTGTATCTTTTAGAAAGGTGAGCGCTAAAGCAGTCGTAACATATATTGATCATTTGCACAAATGAATTACCCCCTCACATAATTCCTGATAAATCCCAGGTCAGCCAGATTTAAAGCTATTTCATGGTAATCAGAGCTTGAAGTGGTTATGTCTACATTTTCATTTCTGTCATGTCATTTAGAAATAGCATTTTCTCTGTCTTAAAAATTATTTCACTTTCTTACCCAGTAAGATGTTGTGTGGATTAACATGATAATCTTTTTGAAGCACTATGAATTCCATGGAAGAAAGGGATTATAGAAGTGTAAAATATCAAAATTAATCATGATTATGATTATCTGCTAAAAATGTGGAAAGCCCATTCTCTAGTACATTTTTCCTGTACGTGCAAAGTTCTATTTACTGGTAGTGAACAAACAGTAATTGGCGGTTTCATGTTTTAAGAATTTGAGTAGGAATTCTTAAGAATTACACTAGATAAGCAGGCAACTGCTACAGCACCCTTTTCGCGCCTATGATCAGTTGGAGTTCTGGCATCAGTGTTCAGGCTGCAAAGAAAAAAATAAAAGACTATATCAAAATTTCATTCCAACAAAACACAGATCTAAAATCTACTCAATGAACTTCACTGTAAACCACAAACTGGCTTTATAGTATGTTGCTGTGCTATGTATGTCCAAGATTTTAATAAATCTGTGTACAATAAAAGTATTATTTTATTAGGCTTATTCCTTAATCATATATTCATTGATGTGAGTCTCATTCAATTAAAAATGAAATTATACAAAAGCGAGCAAACTGTAGATTTACAGTAGTTTAAACTTAACCTTAATCTCTGGGGTGATATTGACAATATAAAAGTGGTGTAAATGATATTCCTTCACTCTAAAATATGCTTATGAGCCCCTTGTGCATGTTCTACTGCTTTACAACCTGCAGTGAAATGCATAACTAGCTTAATAAGCAAGTCATCTGGAAAGGTTTTTTTTTTTTTTTTTTTTTTTATGACCTGCCTTAAAAAAATGCTAACAGAAATTTTTCAACTTAAAGG